ATTCACTCTGGTAATATCAAAACTTCAAAACTAAAAGCACGAAATTAGTTCTGCTAAATGTAAATTTGCTGTGTCGTGCGTTTGTTAGAAAAAGACAACAAACACATCAATTTGCTCATTGATTTATCGTTGTCTACACAGACATAAATTGAATAATTAAAATACCCGTTACCTTCCCAACTTCCCGTCTACAAAAGTGGTACACCCGTCGGCAGAATCGGCTTATTTTTTCTTTTTCATTTTTTCGGCCGACAATTACAATGGGACGACGAGATGTCCTGGCACGCATTTACAATATCGAACAAACCACGGAGCGTCGTCGTTATCGTCGTCAGAGGCTTGTCCCCCAGTTATTATCAATGGGAGGGGACGTAGCAAATAAGAATTGTTAATAAATTTTAAATTCGTCTTCTCTACCCATTACCCATCCCGATGACTGTGGGAATTGGTAATTTAAAAACCGGATCCTAAAAAAAAAAAAAGCCCAATCAATAAGCTTTCCCCCGTAACTTGGCTGAAACATATGAATTTCGACATTTGATTCCTCGTGTTGGTTTGTATTTTTAAGCCGACAGGGAATTGGGGGTGGGGCTAACCCTTAACCCCCTTCCGCCCCTCACTCGCACGCTACTGTTCGTCGTCATCACTGCGGGTAAATAATTACGCTACCTGCGAAATTGAGGGTAAAACAGGTAGTTCCATTATGTAATGTTATTCTGTGTGTACGTCCGCCGCCGCCGTTTAAGTATGCAAGGTGTCGATGAGAATAAAACACCGTACTATCCGATACTATAGCGTTTCGTTAGTTTTTTTTTTTTTTCCTAATTCGGCCCAGCGGGACACACGATTTATACACATCAACACTTGTGGGTTTCGCGGCGAAACGTTATAGGTATTTATATTTCGTATTATTGTTATTATATTGTGACAAGTCATTCGTTGTACATCAATCGTCTTTTCGTTTTCGGGCCTCCCGCGCGCGCGCGCGCGCGTTACAGAAAGAGCCCGCGGGAAAAAAACGTTAATTGTCTTATTTTTATTTTTTTTTTTTCTACGTTTTCCGTGCGGGTGCCTGTTCCGGGTACAATAACAAGTACCCATCGTTGGCGCATTAACACCGCTGCGGTTGAGGTAGGCGTACAATTTGTGTACGGTTATAGTCTCGTACGAATAGTCTCTTTTTTTTTCTTTTTTTTTTTTTTTTAACTTTTTTCCCGCTAATCGTCGAAGAAAATAATCTATATTTTTGTTCAATATAATATTCTATGGTTTCACACCGCCGCCACCGCCACCACCGCCGGTCCCGCGCCCAGTGTGCATTGTCTCGGCTCGCCTCCAGATGAGACAAACGAGGCGTCATCAACAATTACATCATATTGTTATCGTTTTCTTATTACCAAGTATAATGTAGGACAGAGTCAATTAAGGGTGTATTTATGGTGGAGGGGGTTGAGTGGGCTGCAGCCCTCCCCCCCGAAATTTTATGGTAGTGGATATATTATTTATTATGATGTATTTTGTTTCAATTTCTTTTCTTTTTTTTTTTACTTTATTTCTACGCAGAGATGGGCAACTGGCGACCCACGATCCACATCCGGCCCGCGTACCTTTTTATCGGCCACAGTTTCAAATTACTTTATATTATTTTAGCGTTTATCTGTGTTTTATGTTATCGCGTTTATTCATAAATAAATCTTCAAAAATCGTCTTAAAATAAATGTATTTAAATAACCAGCAGTTGAAATTGAAAAGCAAGATGTTTCACTACAATAAGAACTATGTGAGTCGCAAACAAATCTATTTGTACCTACAAAAACGATTGGTGTGTCATTTCGGAAAATATTACTCTATGAAAAGTGTATTAATTTATATTCATTTGTACGAGATTTTGCATTTAAAATCTCATCTACGTTTGGAACAAATCAAATTAAAGAAAAGATATCGCCTTACAGATGAAACATTAAATCACCCATTACGTGTTTCCACTCTGGAAACGGAAGTTGATTTTGCTGAGTTGCCAACTGCAACTACACATCGTCGAATCTCACATTAAACAAGTTGTGAATATTATACAAAATAAATACTAATTATGTATTCGAAATTTGAATAATTTTCCATTTGACTTTCTACGCTCTGGCCCGCTAGACTTTCAATTTCTAATGATTGGCCCTCTAGTGAATTTGCGGTGCCCGTCCCCGCGGCTCTATGCGCATTCCGTTTCTGCTCGTATGCGGCGCAGCGCGTCGTGATTGCCCGGAAACACTGTAATATTATAATGACAATACGAATATTACGCCGAACGTGCGTTTATAATACAATATTAACATCGTACAGCCGCGGTGTACGCACGTACGCGGTGGAATAAAAAAGAAAAAGAAAAATGAATTCAAACCGAACTGATCTAATAACGCGTTGAAAGCGGCCGAATCCGAAGTAACGAAAAAAACCTCGCGTTACACACACACACGTATATATATATAGATAATAATAATAATGATAATATTATACTCACATTGATACAAAATGATATTATGACGTTCGCGGCATTGTGTCACTTGCGGTATAATAATAGTATAATGTGCAATACACACGGGCGCGTGTGCGCGGACAACGATGAATCGGATGCGTTCGGGGGAGGGGTAAAAAAAAAACGCCGGTAACGTCTACGATAATAATAATAATAATAATAATAATAATTGATAATACGTTTTCTCGGCGGCTAACTTGTCTTTAATCGTCGAACGACTTTCCAGACGGAAAAAACCTCACACCGTGTTGCGGGCCCGCAGCACGGTTTCATATTTACACACACACACACGCACGCACGCACGCACGCACGCGTCATGTGCCCATTACGTTTTCTACAACAGGTCTTTGTAGAAACATACGTCGTCTTCTCGTGTAATACGTTACCCAACAACAAAAACCCTCCGTCGACTACGCGTAAAACCTCGCTACGAAAAAAAAAAAAAAACCAAACATCAAAAGTTTTTTCGAAAAGCTGCGATATCAAAAACTGCAGGGGCAGTGCGGTAATTTATTGAATTCGTTGGTATAGAAACTGTTTGTAATTGTTTGCGTTTGATGCAGTGCGATTATCCAATACAAATAATGCAGCTTAGCTCGGCGACCACTAATATTTACGACTACAAATAAATATACAATGCCGACACGAACATTTACATTCCCATTTTATAATTTATTAATATTTCCATAGCACTGTTTAAGTACACACTGTGAACAGCCACCAAGCTAAGTTGAATTATTCGTATTAAATAATCGCACTGCATCGAATACAATTACGAAAAAATGTCTATACTAATGAGTTAAAGAAATAACTTAGCCCATATTCGATATCACAACTTTTCTAACTTGAGATGTTTTTTTTTTTCTTTTTCTCAGCGAGGTTTTACACGTAGTTGACGGAGGGTTTTTTTGGGATATTACATCTTTTTTTATTAACATTTTAGATATAATTCACCTATGTTTTTTTTTTTTTTTTTTTTTTGATCGACTGAAAAATTACGGGGACAAAATAGCTGAGTTGTTTTACGGATTGAGTAAATTAATATGCGATGTATAGCAATGCATATAGCTTATTACGAACGCTGCTGGAAAATGACACTATAGTAATACAGCGATAAAATAAGTAAACAAAACTGTTTTTTTTTTTTTTTATTCACCGCAAACGGCCACCGTCGCGAACAGGTGGTAACAACGCGTACTGTTGTTATATGCATTGTTGAATTGTTGAAAAAAAAAAATAGCGTTTCGAGTAAAAACTATGCTGATATTTTTGCGTATTACTCCGGCTGTCCGATCAATTTTTTTCAAACGTTCAACGTTCATTATTATGTATACAATCCGTAATGATATTTACAGTGAGCGTACGAACGTTCTGATGTATTTAAATGACACGAGGGAGCGAGGATAGAAGCTATCCAACAGCAACACTCAGAGTACGATCAAATTGAACTTTACAAAAGTATCATCTACTTTGCATACTGGTCGACCCGTGTAAATTTCAAAACAATCAGTCCATTGGTTTTGGCCAAAGAGAGGTCGGTCCATCTGTCGTAAAATTACACAGGTTAAATAAGAGTTGGCCGTCTCGTGCAATACGCTACGGTCGACGTACGAGCTCGTTTTTCTTTTACTTAGCTCTGCGCCGCTAAGAACGTAATACATAATACACAGTGTGCCCCACCATGTTCGACTGATTTTTCTAGCGCTGTTAACACTAAATATTTTTCAATTTTTTTTTTTTTTCAATCGGTTTGTCACCGAGGGGGACATCGATTTGGAAAAAATTAAAATTTTTATTTTCATCCTCTAAAGACAAAAAACAAATAACTCTTTATGTATTTACTTAAGAAAATTTTCAAAATAGCCTTTTTGTGAAAAATATTATTCGAAAAATGTTAATGTATCACACATTCGTATCCGATGAATAATTTCTTAGTTATAGCAGTTTTAATTAGGCGTGAAAACAGTTAATATGCAATAAAATAACACGTTATGCGATAAGGAGTTGTGAGATAAGGAGAATCAACACGGTAAATCTTTACCTTCAGTTACATATTAACTATTTTCACGTCTATTTTCTAGAAATCAAAACGGCTATAATCAAAAAACTATTAATTGGATATGAATGTATGCTGTATTAACATTTGTTTTTTAGAATAATATTATTTACAAACTAGTTTTTTTGAAAATTTTCTCAAGTGAATAAATAAAAAAAATTTTTATGCGTTTTTATGTGATGAAAATAAAAATCGAATTTTTCTCCGAATCGATGAACCCCTCAAAGATTAACCGATTGGAAAAAAAAATAATCGAAACAAATTTAATATTTACAGCGCTAGAAAAATGTTTATGTTTAGGGAATTTTTAATGTAGGTTACCATTTGAAAATCAAAATTAGGTAGTGGTTTTAACCCCTAAAATATGGAGGAAAAGATAATGAATTAATAATTCGTTATCAAGTTGTTACGGCATACCGAGGACTTATTCCGAGATCAATCGAAAAAAAAGCGTTTTCGATTAGAAATTTAGCAACCGTGTAGAAATCGATTGAAACCAATCGATGATTTATCAACTTTCGATTGATTTTTTTGTTATTTTTTAACGGAAAAAATTTTTCGATCGATTTGAAAACAGACCACTTAATATTGTACGCCCATCTAGTCAGAGATAACAACATTGCACTATTTAAAATAATTTGAAATTTGTAACCAGTAGTAATAACTTTCGGTATTTTATGAATTTTTAGTCGGAATATTAATATTTCCACAATACTTATTTGAAACAGGTACCTAATTGCCCTAAGTGTATATATATATATATATCTAAATAGACTGGGGAAAATTCACGTAGTCCAAAATATTATTTTTGGATCGTTTCGAAAAATAATTAAACCTTCCTGTTAACCTTTTCGTTAGTATTTGCCGGCTCCATACTGAAATCCTCTAATTTTCCGGATTGACACGTTTCCGCTATCTTATTTATTACCGTATTCTCAATACACGCGGCGCACTCTGCTTCGATTACATATTATTCTTAAGTTGTTGTCCGCGGGCCTTTTGTCACGTGTATATTTCGACGGTTTTAAGATTGCAACGGCTTGGACATGCAATGCGCGCAGGAAAACGAAAACGACATTGCAGACCATAGAATGGAGACCAACAGGCGAACTAACTAGAGGGGGGGGGGAAAGAAAGCGTTGGTCGTACGGTATTGCAAAAGACGTGGAAAAAAAAATGGGAAATATTGATTGGTGCACGAGGATGTATGCGGGGACAGATTTACGAAGAGAATAATTTGACAGCTAAGGATTCGGAAGAGTTCTTATTGCGTACAAGCTGAACGAAGAAGAGGAGGCGTTTTTATTATTATTATTATTATTTTTTTTTTTTTTTTATCGCAAAAACAATCATACTAATACGTGCGCTCGTTCAAGTTGTTCGAAATATTTTATTGTGCAATTAATAAATACAATAATTTTACACGGTTTATAAATATAACGCTAACAGGTGTAAATTAGATATAAGATTATAATATTATACAAATACAGGTACACCTTATATACCTGCTGTACATTACAAATTCAGTAGTATGTAGTTATTGTTTTGCCTACTTTATAATATCAAGTGAAAAATAATATTAAACTCGTAATAATCATTAATAGGCTATATCACAGATGAGTCATTAAAATAATATATAATGTATATAATATGTAAAAAAAAAAAAAAAAAAAAAAAAAACCT